GGACCACAATTTGGGTGCTGGGAATTGAACTAGGGTCCTCTGAAAGAGCAGCAAATGCTCTTAACTACTGGGCCATCTCTCTAGCCCCCCACATTTATTTATTTATTTATTTATTTATTTATTTCTGAGACAGGGTCTCCCTGTAGCTCCAGCTAGCCTGGAACTTGCTATATAGACCAGGTTGGCTTTGAACTCACAGAGTGCTGGGATTAAAGGCGTGCACCACCATGCCTGGCATTTCCACCTTATTTTTTAAACAGTTCCTCAGTGAACACACAGATCACTGGCTCAGCTAGACTGACTGTCCTGCAAGCCCTGGAGATGTTCCTGTTTCTGCCTCCCCAGCACTGGGATGGCAGGTGTGTGCTGCTGTGCCTGGCTTTTGTACATGGGTATTGAGGAGTTAGCTCAAGTCCTCATGCTTGGTCAGTGAGTACTTTACCCACTGATTCACCTCTCCCTCTCTTGAGAGATGCCAAGTTTACCCTAAGGTCTTCCACCTTTGCTGTAATGAGCTCAGGTCCCTTGGCTCTATCTTAAACCACTGAACCTGGTGCAAAGGGGTCAGGGCTTGGGCTCTTTCAAGGTTCAAGTGGGTATGGTCAAAGCCCAGGTCTGCAACAACTTTCAGCAGATTGGGGCTTTGACTAGGAGACCCTGTCCACAGATGTCAGGCTTACCACCCCTAGCACTGGGCTTTTTCCTACCTGTCCTTCCTACAACACCCAGACCCCTCCACTGGAGCCAGAACAGGATCAAGGCATCAGACTCGGTTTTCCTGTGAGGCAATGCGTGAGCCACTCACCTTTCTGGCCAGGGGGGCAGTGGGTACACACCACCTCTCCACTCTCTGGGATGGTTGTACAGGCTGACTGTCCAGGGCATGGACAGGGCTGGCAGTCATCGGCATGGCCTATGAAGGGATTACCGTAGAAACCCAGCATGCAGCGCTCACAAGACGGGCCCTCGGTGTGGTGGCCACACAGGCAGATCCCTGAGGGGGAAGACAAGCGGCTGCTCACCACTGCCTCAGTTCAGAACTCTGGACAGTGAGGAGTCTGGTGGGAGGGACCACAGGGCACATCCTGGTAGACCTGGGGATAGAACCTGTGGTGGGGGTGCAGCGGGCACTGGGGATGAAACATCCAGGTCTGGCTCCCTCTGAATTCACATCTTTTATTAAAATATTTTATTTATTATTATCTTTTTAAATTTTGTGTATGCGTGTATTGCCTGCATGTATGTGAGTGCACCCGTGTCGTGCAATGCCTCAGGGGTCAGAAGACAGCTTCAGGTTCCCCTGGAACTGGAGTTAAGGACAGTTCGTAGCCACCATGTGGGTGCTGAGAATTGAACTCCTCTCACACACAAAAACGTAAAGTCTTTTAAAAAAAAATTTATTATTTTTATGTGTATGAGTGTATTGCCTACATGTATGTGAGTGTACCCGTGTTGCCCAAAGACTGTGGAGAGCAGAAGAAGGTGTTGGATCCCCTGGAACTGGAGTTACAGACAGCTGTTAGCTACCATGCGGGTGCTGGGAATAGAACCTGGGTCTTCTGGAAGAACAGCCAGTGTTCTTAACCACTGAGCCATCTCTCTGACCCCTGAATTGACATCTTAATGCCTCTGTGAATGTGGGTGAATTGTCTGACCCTCTAACTCTAGGCCTCAGTAGCTTCCCTGAAAAATGGGAGTGACACCAGCTGACCTCAAAGGACTCTTGAGAGTTTTTGAGCTCACATACACTGACAGGGTAGAGATGCAGCTCTGCTGCCCTGACTGAGCCAACCTGCACCTCAGGCAACAGATGCCACACCACAGGGATCATGTATAGGACTCAAGGGTATTAGGCATAAGCCAGCATCAGAGCCTGAGAAGGCACTTGTTTATTACTTCATGGTCATTCTGTGTTTGATTTCTAAACCTTTCTGAATGAACAAGGGTCACAGTGACACTGGCTCTCTCTGCCTGTGTGTCCTTTTAACTTTGAGGGAAATACTGGCCTAGGCTTCCAGCCTTTCAGGGGCTCACTCTGTGCAGTCACTGGGGTACCCACAGGTTGTCAGGATGGGAACCCCCTCCTGCCTGCTGGTATCTGAAGATGGAGGAAACTATAGATACCCCACCTCCAGCCCAGCAGCACCCGGTATCTTCTTGGAGTCTGGGGTGCTTAGAAGGGATGTCTCACCATGGGGACAGAAAGAAAGCCAGGATCACCACTACTGGAAGCCCTAGGCAGCCCCCAGCCAGGGCTGAGGCAGGCCAGAATGAAAGGGAGCTTGGGGTGGACAACTCCTATCTCAGCTCTACACCTTCAGGCTTGTTCCTCTTCTTAGAATGAGGAGTGGAAAGTTGTGAAAGGTCAAGGGTTCTGTGGGGATGAAAAATTGGTCCCATCTTATGAGAAGACTATTTCCTCAGTAGAGCTGTTGGGAGCACTGTGTGGGGAAGGGTTAAGAGGCCTCATCTGGGCTCAATTATCAATGTCTGCCAAGGGCACAGGAAAAGAGACTGCTCCATCTGTCAGGCACACCAGAGATCCCACCTGCTCTAGGGAGGCAGCAGGATAAAAGGCCAGTGATGTGTGTGATGGGGAGAGGCCTCCATCAGATCCCTAGCACTTCCTGGTCATGTGAGGTCACTGCTCCACCTCATTCATTAATTCATTAAGGCTGTGAGTAAACAACCTTAATGAATGGCACCCAGACTGGTGAGAGGTACAGCTCTGTCACCTACTGGCCGAGTGGCTAGCCTGCACCTCAAGTCCCTCTCCTGGAAAATGGGATGGTAATAGAGATTACACGAGTGATGTCTGCAGGAGTCATGGATGCGGTGCCAGAGCCAGAAAAGGAAGCAAGGGACCTAATTTATGACTTCCCACTGTCCTGAAAGGACAGGACTTCCCACACCTGCCTTTCCCATGTAAAGACCCCAAGGTCACACAGTTAGCTACAGCTGAGCTTGGTGCAAAGCAGGGCTGTCTGTTTTTGGAGTCTGGGCATCTCCTGACCTTCATGTGGCCTTGTCTCCACGGTCTGGGCTATGTGCACACTATTACCGTCCCCACTGTACAGGTGGGCATGCTTAGTGAGTGACTTTCCCAAAGGCCACAGACCATGAGGGTTGGCAGGTGTGTGTCTCTGGGTTGACACCCATGAGCTGCTGTCATCTGTGTGGCCTTCCAAATATCCTTGTGCTGTCACGTGCTGTGCCCTTAATGCCCCTGCCTTTCCTCACAGCACCCACTAAGTGGCAGGAGCCCAAGAGGTCTTCCCTGGACCTTCTCGGGAAGACAGGGGTGTGCCCCAAGGGAGCATGGGCCTGTAGACAGAAGCCTGCTCAGGCCTCACCAGATGCACACACAGTCTCTTGCACCTAGACTCCAGCTGGGACTTTGTTACAAGACAAGATGCCCAGGCATCAGGGTAAGGATGAACCAGTGCTCCCTGGGGGCCAGACCTTTACAGCTCATGCCATGCTGAACCTGTGAGTGCCAGTCCTCATCACACTCTGCCTGGTATAGCCTAGGGGCCTTAGGATGGGGTTCTGGGCACTCACCTGTGTTGGGGTCACAGGTACCATGCTGGTTACAGGCACAGGGGATGCAGTTGGCATAGGGACCCCCCCGTGGTGTCTCTCTTTTGTATCCTGGAGCACAGAATTCACAGAACTGGCCTGAGTATCCCTGGGGACATGAGCAGGTCTCCACCCAGGAGGCTGGGGTAGCGAGTCCCTGCTGAGGTCGAGCCGATGTGAACCGAACTTCACGAAGGAGTATTTGACCTGCAGAGCGAGGAGAGAGAGGGGGAGAGCTCTCCATGCATCCCCATCCCCAAACCTTTTCTAAGTAGCTGAGACAGGTGTGCTGATTAAAACAGCCATGAATCAACTGTGTGTGTGTGTGTGTGTGTGTGTGTGTGTGTGTGTGTGTGTGCGTGCGTGTTGAGACAGGTTCACTCTGTAGCTCTGGCTGAACTAGAACTTGCTATGTAGACCAGGCTGGCCTTGAATTCACAGAGATCTACCTGCCTCTGTCTCCGGGGTGCTGGGATTAAAAGTATGTGCCACCATGCCTGGCTGCAACTATGATTTTTGAGACAGGGTCTTGCTATGTCACCCATACTGCCCTCAAACTTGTGATCCTTCTGCCTTACCCTTCCAAGTACCAGGATTGCAGGCATGAGCTACCGTGCCCAGCGTCAAGTAATTTTTAAAAATAGTGGCTGTGGGGTAGCTCAGTGCTTAGTGGTAGAATGTGTGCTTGGCATGTACAAGGCCCTGGTTTCAATCTCAGAGAGAGAGAGAGAGAGAGAGAGAGAGAGAGAGAGAGAGAGAGGCAGAGACAGACAGAGACAGAGACAGAGACAGACAGAGAAAGGAGAACTTGAGAATTTTGAGGTAAGATCCATTCTTGGGGCCAGCAAGCTGGCTCAGCAGACAAAAGCACTTGTTGCCCAGAACTCATAGTGGAAGATGAGAATCAACTCCCACAAGTTGTTCTGATTCTCTAACCTCTGCACATGAAGCATATATGTGCCCCCCCATACATACACAAGTAAATAAATTAATTTTTTTTGGTCTTTTTGAGACAGGGTCTCCCTGTAGCCCCAGCTGTCCTGGAAATCACTATGTAGACCAGGCTGGCCTTGAACTCACAGAGATCCGCCTGCCTTTGCCTCCTGAGTGCTGGGATTAAAGGCATGCACCACCACACTCGGCTAAATTAATTTTTTTTAATTTAAGAAGATGTCTCCTCTTATGGAATATTGAGTTTTATAGCTTTAAACAATGGCCTACTCTGACATACTGTGTGTGTGGCAGGTGGGCCTGGGCTGTACAAGGAGGGTAGCTGAGCAAGCCAGGGGGAGCAAGCCAGTGAGCAGCATTCCTCTATGGTCTCTGCTTCAGTTTCTGTCTCCAGGTCCCTTCCTTGAGTTCCTGGCTGGCTTCCCTAGATGATGGACTGTTTACAAAAGTACAGAGTAAAAACCACGCACACAGAAGGTGAAAGCCAGATGCCCCAAATGGGATCTGTGAGAGGGGATTTGGGGTAGGAGAGACGGTTGGTATGGGGATATCACGCATTCAGCCGGGGCAGAGTGGGCAGGGCACTGTGAATAAGTGATCCCACTGAGACTTAAGAGCCCTTCAAGGTCAAATGTGTCACTCCCATTTTGCAGGGAAGGACACCAAGGGAACACGATATTAGACAATTTGCCCCAGTCCATAACTAGGAAGGGGTGAGCTATAACATGCGGTCACCAACTGCGGAGGGAAGTGCCAGAAGGAAATTCTAGAAGCTATTGGAAAGAGTAAAGACAACATTCCTGGGGGAATAGGGGGGTATTGACCCAGGCGAGGAGATGGGAGGTTGGCGAGATGGAGGCAGATAAGCCACAGGCTCCAGAAAGGAAGAAACGGAGGGGAGCTGGGGCCATAAGGGGGTCTGGCTACAACCTCCCAAGCCTGAGCATGAAGGGAATCCCGGGGGAAAGCCGGCTACCTAAGCCACCAGCTCTCAGAGGGAAGCAGAGCTCGGGGCCTTTTGGCTGTCATATGTTGGGAGGCAAAGGCTGTGCTAGATGATACACAGACAGATAGATAGACAGACACACAATGTCCATGTGACTTCCAAACATCCCGCTGGGTGCCCAAAGGACAGAGACACCCCTGTGTAAGCGCCTGAGCTCCATGGATTCTGGCATCTTCAGATGGTTTAAGTGCTTATAGAACCATCCAGTGATGCAGATGCTGCATATGTGGGGGGATCATGGTGTTTGGGTTCACAACTGTCCTGAAAGTCCTTCAGTGGAGACCCTGAGCTAGCAGAATCTGTCCCAATAGCCATTACTAGTGTCCCACCTGCAGCCTCCCACACCATTGCCTCCCCTACACAGTGATCTGGAAAGTATTCCCAATGAATTATGATCCCAAAATTGCAAACCCAGAGGACCTAAAACACAAGGGTCAGTCACAGTGGAGTGTCTGACACTTGGCCTTGCTGAGATGCCCACAGATAAATGTTTGCTTTGCCAAGATGCTGCTCCTAGCAAAGCAGAATCAAACTGGCAAGGCTAAGGAACATTGTGAGAGCTGCCATGGCCTACATGGTGGTACACAGCTGCAATCCCAGCACTTGAGAGGTAGAGGCAGGAAGATCAGGAGTTCAAGGTCAGCTTCAGTTACAAAGTTAGTTCAAAGCTAACCTGAGCTACATAAGATCCTGTTTTAAAAAGAACAAGGAAAGGAGGAGGAGGGGGAAGAAGAGGAGGAGGAGGAAGAGGAAGAGAAAGAATGGGAGGAAGAGGAGGAGGAGGAAGAAGAGGAGGAGGAGGACGAGGAAGAGGAGGGGGAGGAGGAAGAGGAGGGGGAGGAAGAAGAGGAGGAGGAGGATGAGGAGGAGGAGGAGAGGGAGGAAGAGGAGGAGGGGGAGGAGGAAGAGGAGGGGGAGGAAGAGGAGGAGGAGGAGGAGGAGGAGAAGGTAACTAAGGTGGCCAGGCTGTACCACCATCCTCCCCAGGTCCTAGCTCCAGTGCCAGTCACTGCCTCTGGGAGCACCTGTTCCACACGCCTCCTGTACCTCTGCCAGCACTGCCACTTTCTGACCGCATCTTCGTTTCTCCTCAGTCCAGACTTACTACAGCAGGAAACCTCTAATCACTTCTTCATCTTGTCTGGAGGCGGGGGGGGGGCTGAACCTGAGCCCGACAATTTGAACTCCTAGAATTGGGGTGTGTGTATGCCCCCTTATTCCCCGAGGCAGAGTCTCTCACTGAACCTGGAGTTCACTGGTTTGGTTGGACTGGCTGTCCAGGGTTCCTCCTGTCTCTGTCTCCCCAGTGCTGGAATTACTAGTGCAGGCTGCCATGCTTGGCTTTTGGCATGGGTTCTAGGGGATCTGAACTCTGGTCCTCATGTTTGAGCAGCAAGCACTTTACCTTCTAAGCCATCTCCTCGGTCCCCTTATGACTGCCTTTAATTTCCTTTTTACTTCTTACTCTTTACTTCTTAATCTTCATATTGTAAGAGGGTATTAGAGATTTTTAAAAATCCTGTGTAGGTAGGTTGTAACCAGGAAAGGCTAGAGCTTAATTATGCCAATTGTTAGTGACTAGGATGAGGGCTGGTGATAAATGCTAGGTGACAATGTGGGTCCCCCCTCTCTAGGAACCTAGAATACTAATCGGACCCTGGAGTAGCTGAGGGGCAATACCATCAGTGCCCAGCAGGGTCACAGGTCCCAAGGAAAGACAGCACACAGTGATGCTGGACCCTGACAAGGACCAGGGGTCACACTCTATGGTTCTTGCCTGTGTTGCTGGCCACATAGCTGCTCCCTAGAGTTGTCCTCCCTCAGGCACCGCCCCCCCCACCTGTCCACGCCCTGCCCCTATCCTCAGCAATACCTCTGCTGCCTTGGGTAAATGTTCTGCTCTCTCAGAACATCGGAGTCCATGCTGTGAGGACTCCACATGCCCACACAAAGCCAGGACCCATGTTCTTGGGGGCATGCTGTCATCATACTGACCAGAAGGGCCTTGGCCACTGGTCCAGATACGCAGAGCTGTGAGATTGCCAAGCAGCCGCTGGAAGTGAAAGGCGGGCAACGGGGGGTCTCCTGCATCCTCAGAGGTCTCCTGCAAGCTAGAGGGGAGCACCTGCTGTGGGGGTGCCAAGAACTTGGGACTTAGCAGCAGCAGTAGTGTTTCCGGCCCTCAGAGACCACCCTGGCTACCCACCCCACCCACATCTCTCATGACAGGGAGGCCACTTACAGGAACCAGAGTTGCACCTGCCCTGGCTTCCTGGTGTCCTGAGAGCTGGGCAGGTTGGAGGGCCTCAAAGCCAGGGCCAAGTCTGCCCCCTCCAGCCTCAGCTGCACAGGGGGTGGTGAGCCCCCGGGGGTTACGCTGAGGGTCAGTATGAGGGGCTGCCCGTAGCTGAACCTCTGGTCTCCCAGGAACTGCTCTGAAAAGGAGAGGGGAAAACTTTGATATGTCCACATACTTAGCTTGATTCTAACATCTGCTGTCAGCAAGTATAAACTGAAATGAGACAGGCCTGTAGAGGATAGACAATACTGAGCCAGGGCTGGGGAGCTGGCTCATGGGTAAAGCACCTGACATCCAAGTGTGAGGACTGGAGTTTCCCAGGACCCACATAAACGCTTGCCTATAATTCCAGCCTCTGAAGTCTGAAACTGGGGCTCCTCCGAGCAAGCTGGCTAGCGAGACAAGCCATACTGGTAAGCTCTGAGTTTGACTGAGAGGTCCTGCCACAAAGAATAAGGTGCAGGAGTGATGGAGGACGAGTCTCAGCATCAACTGTGAGTCTCCACATGCACTAGCACCCATACAGGCAGGTGTGCCCACATATATGCAAACATGCATACACACATGTACAACATACAACACACACAGACACACGTGAAAACAGAAAAAGAAAACACTGGACCCTTTGCAGCGGATGCCCGCAAGTGACAAGCCTTTGCCCGGTCTCACAAGTAAGTGACGCCTGCAATCATTCAGGGTTGGCTTGTGCTCTTGACAATCCTGAACTGTTGTTTTGGGAGGGAAGTCCAACAGACAACAGTCTGATAGAGCAGAGGAAATACAACGGCCATTGGCCACCACAGAATCCCATGTCCACCAGGAAGACAGCCAGGTATAGAGCTTTTGCTTAGTGCAGTGTGTCTGCTGTTCTGGTAAGAAGTGGTGATGTACTAGTGTGTGAGTCATGGAAAATAAATTATGTGGGTTGGGGGAGATGGTTCAGTGGGTAAAGTGCCTGCTGTGCAAGCAGGAGGACTTGCGTTTGATTCCTAGCACCCTTGTAAAAGCTGGGTGCAGGGTCAGTAACCCCTAGCACTGGGGGAGCAGAGACAGGTGGGTCCCTGGAGCTCATTGGTCAGCCAGTTCAGCCAATGGGTGAGCTCGGTGTTTAGTAAGGGACTATCTCAAAAACTCAGTGGAAAGTGACAGAGGAAGACACCCACTACCAATCTCTGGCCACACACACACACACACACACACACAATTGTGCTATTCAGTGGTTCCATGTATGTATGGTCTAATAGAAGAATCATAACACCTGAGGTGTCCCAACCCTAATCCCTGGAGTCTGCACAGAGGGAGGGTTGACCAGAAAGGGGAGATTAGGCTACAGATAGAGTTGGGGTGTTAGTCTACTGGCCATGGAGGAGGGGGAGTCTTTCGGATTATTCAATGGCGTCCAAGAGAACCTCCAGAGAGAGGGAGGTGGAGGTCAGTGGTGGTTGTGAGGACAGCTGCTCCAAAGGCGGAGGAGGATGTATGTCTGAAAAGGGAAATGGATTCCACTGGAGCCTCGGGAGGGAACACAGCCCTGCTGACACCTTGATGTTAGCTCTGTGACACCTGTTCCATGTTTTGGACTTCTAGAACACTAAGAGAATAAACATGTGTGCTTTCTGCCACTGACTCTGCGGCAGCTTGTCAGCACATGTTGTGGTTGGTGCCCAAGCTCATGTTGAAATTGAATCCCACATCATGAGGTGTTATGAGGTAGGAATTTAGTTTGACTGAAGTGTTAGGGTGAGGTTTCTGGGAAGTGACTAGGACAGAATGTAATGGTTGGGATGGACCCCCCCATGGTGAGGATGAAGCCCCCATGGTTGAATCTAGAAAACAGGAAAGAGACCAGCCATATGCACAAGCTCCCTGCCTCCATCTACAGGACACCTTGTACCACCTCAGGACTCTGCTAGCAAGAAAGTCATCACTAGATACACACCTCGCCCTAGGACCAGAACTCAGCCCAAATAAACCTCAGTCCTTCAGAACCCATCCACTTTATCCACCATGTGATTAGCAATGGAAACTGGTCACCACCCAGAAGCAGACAGGGACCTGGGTGGTGTGACTGGCAAGGACCTTCACCTACCAGGTGCTGAGAGCTCTTCCCCGCCTTGCAGGCCCAGGAGAACCCCACTCCGGATCCATTTGGGGGGACGCTCCGAGGCCCCCATGGCTCTGGCTTGCCAGCCACCAGCTCCTAGAAGGCAAACAGAATATTCATCTTATCAGTGTGAGGCTGAAGGGGGGGCCTCCAGTGACAGGTCCAGCAGAGGTCTGAAGTAGGGGAGAGCCCCAGGAGCTGGCTCTGCCTCTGCTGAGGCATGGGGTCATGGTCATATCTTAGGCTTAGTCAGGCCTTCAGACAGCTGCCTTCTTCTCTTTATCTTCCCTCCTCTGCACCCTCATCTCTCTTTGTCTCTGTCTCTATCTCTTTCTTTCTTGGGGTCTCATGTAGCCCAGGCTGGCCTCAAACTCACTATGTAGTCAAAGATGACTTTGAACTTCTGATCCTCCTGCCTCCACCTCCCAAGTGCTGGGATTACAGGTATGTGCCATCATGCCTGGTTTATGTGGTGCTGGGATCAAACCCAGGGCTGCATGAATGCTAGGCAAACACTATCAACTGAGCTATGACCTCATCAACCCTCTCTTGACTTTCAGGTTCATGGTAATTAAGCCCATGCATTCTGGGAGGTCACCTGGCTAGGAAGGGATCCAGCCAGGGTGGGAACCCAAGACTCGTGATCCTCAGTCCAAGTTTAATCACTCATCCCTCTAATGAAAGGGATGAGCTCAGCCCACAGAGCAAATGACCATAAATAGGTGCTGTCCGGGGGGCAGCTGGGAAAAGGGTGGAAACCACACACATGACAACCAAGGGGGAAGAGGGGTCCCAAAGGGGAATCCTGGGCCTCATTTGGCTAGACTACTTCTGTCCCTTACAGGCTGTGTGACCCTGGATGAGCCTCTCTGAAGTTAGCTCCTTGTTTTTCAGAACAGGGCAGAGAATTTCTGCAGCCCAGCAGGAGTCCTCACAATGGGTTTGGACATCATGGGGAGACCCCTGAGGTTTTTTGAGGGGGCCTGTGGAGATGGAACTATCTTCTCACTTGCAGTAGGAAGCTGACTGTGTTTCATTCTGTTGCTGGCACAAGCAGGCAGTGGAGTTTTCTAGAAGCTGCAGGATGTGCACTGCCCCGCAGATGGGTGGCAGAGGAGATGTGAGGAGCAGCTGGCTTGTGCTAAGCCAGGTCTTAAAGGGACTCAGAAAAACACAGGAGCAGCACAGCACTCACCAAATGTTTTGTCTTTTAAAAACAGTCATTTGGGGTCTGGAGATGTGGCTCAGAGGTTAAGAACACTGGCTGCTCTTGAAGAGGACCTGGGTTCAGTTCTCAGCACCCACATAGCAGCTAACAATCATCCATACCTCCAGTTCCAGGGTTCCAGTGCCCTCTTCTGGTCTCTGTGAGTACTGCATACATGTAATATGCTTATATACATGCAGGGAAACACTCATACATATAAAATAATATAATTTTATTTTAAAAAATATTTATTATTATTTTTATTTTATGTGTATGAGTATATTGCCTGCATATGAGTGCACCCGTGTTGTGCAGTGCCACGGAGGTCAGAAGAAGGCTTTAGAGTCCCCTGGAACTGGAGTTAAGGACGTCATGTGGGTGCTGGGAATCGAACCCGGGTCCTCTGCAATAGCAGTCAGTGGTCTCAACTGCTGAGCCATCTCTCCAGCCCCTATTTTTATTTATTATTTGTATTTTATGTGTTTGCATGTATTGCCTGCATGTAGGTAAGTGTACCCATGTCATGCAATGCCTGTGGAGAACAGAAGAGACTGTCAGATTCCTTGGAACTAGAGTTACTATGGACAGTTGGTAGCTGCCATGTGGGTGCTGGGATTCGAACCTGGGTCTTCTACAAGAACAGTCAGTGTTCTTAACTGCTGAGCCATCTCTCCAGCCCCAATAATATAAATTTTAAAAGTTAAAAAAACAAAGTTATTTGGTGGGCTGGGATACAGCTTAATTGGTAGAGCACTCGCCTAGCATGCACAAAACCTCGGCTTCCATTCCCAGTACTGCAAAAACCAGGCATGATGCGCACACCTGTAATCTCAGCATTCAGAAAGCAGAGGCAGGAAGATCAGGAGGTTAAGGCCAGCTTTAGCTACACAGTGAGTTCGAGGCCAGCCTGGGCTACACAAAACCTGTCTCCCCAAAAAAGGTTTTTGTTTTTGTTTTCACAGAACTGTGAAAAACCAAATAATGTAATAGGTTCATAGTGATGGTTTAAAGATGAATTAGGGGCCGGAGAGATGGCCCAGTGGCTAAGAGCACTGACTGCTCTTACAGAGGACCCGGGTTTGATTCCCAGCACCCACATGGCAGCTATGAACTGTCCTTAGCTCCAGTTCCGGGAGGATCCAAAGCCCTCTTCTGACCTCCGCAGCATTGCACGACACGGGTGCACTCACATACATGCAGGCAATACACTCATACACACACACACACACACACACACACACACACACACACACACACACACACACACACACACACACACACACACACACACACAAAGATGAATTAATGAGGGGTTGGGGACATGGCTCAGTGGTTAAGAGCACTGGCTGCTCTTGCAACCTGGGTTGGTTCAATTCCCAGCACCCACGTGGCAGCTGACAATCATCCATAACTCCAGTTTCAGGGGATTCTGCACCTTCTTCTGACCTCTGCAGGCATTGCATGACACAGGTGTACTTACATGCATGCAGGCAATATACATGAAAATAAAAATAATAAATAAAATATCTTTTAAGTGTATTAATGAATAACATTTGAATCACTTGAGTTCTTTGGGGTTTTTGTTGCGGACTGATTTCTCTTTTTTAAATATTTTATTTATTATTTTTATTTTCTGTGTACGAGTAATATATTGCCTGTATGGATATAAGTGTGGATCCTCCCGGAACTGGAGCTAAGGACAGTTCATAGCTGCCATGTGGGTGCTGGGAATCAAACCCGGGTCCTCTGCAAGAGCAGTCAGCGCTCTTAACTACTCAGCCATCTCTCCAGCCCCAGAACTGATTTTTCTTTAAGGTAGGTTTTGCCTCTGTAGTCCAGGCTGGCAGGGAATTTGAAGTCCTCCTGCCTCAACTTCCTGAATATTCTTATTACAGGTGTGCATACCTGGCTTATCAGTTTCCTTTCTAAGACATCAGCTATCCCTATAAGCAACCTGGAGGCATTACAGGGTTTTAAGGTCATCAACAGTTTTCAAGGGCATAAAAGGACCCAGGGACCAGAAGGTTGAGAATCTCTGCAAAGTGCTGTAAAATGGGCTGAGATGGAGACGCAGCTCAAGGTGACAAGACATAACCATACCATCCTTTCTTTTGGAAGAGAGGCTGAAACAGGATCTCATGCAGCCCAGGCTGACAAACTCACTATGTAACTGAGGATGACTTGAACTCCTGACCCTCCTTCCTCCACCTCCCAAATGATGGGATCACAGGCATGTATCATCCCACCCAGTTTAAGCAGTACAGAGGATGGAGAGCAGGACATCACGGATACTAGGCAAGGACTCCACCAACTGAGCTACATCCATAGCCCTCACCATACTGTCTTAGGATTCAGAAGACAAGCCTGGTCAGAGAGCATCCTGGACTGGCTGGCCACTGCCACACACTGCCCTGCTTTCTGTGTAATGTCCAGAAGAGGGCGCGCTGCCCCTGCCTCTGAGCACCCTAGAGTCCAGCCTGAGGTTCAGTCCCCAGCCTCTGGGTTCCTGGTAGGGAACTGCTCTATGGGGCATGGATGGGCACACTGGCTCTGGTTTAATGCAGAGCTCAGAGCTCAACTCCTTCCTGCTCCAAAGCCAGAACAATCCCAGATGGGCCTGGACCTTGTCTGTAAAATGGAATAGAGAACACCTGCCTGCAGGGCTGCTGAGACTCCTTGCAATATGGAGCTCAGCAAACCGTGTCTGGTATACAACAGGCACTTAATAAGTGGAGGTCAAGCGTCTGACTAGGAATCTTCAGCACTTAGCTATGCTAAGGGATGTTAACCTTCATAATGTGACTGAGATTCCCCTACAGATCCCAAATGGTGCGGCACACTTCCAGCCTCCCAGCACCACCCTGGGGATAAACTGCTAGTGACAGGGAAGGAGGCAGTGGGTGGTAGGCGGGTGCTTGGGGCCTAGAGAGTCTCTCTAAAAGGGGCATAGAAGGGTGCTCCCTGCCCCAATTTCCAATGCCAGATCCCCAGCCTGGGCAGGGAGTGACACCTTGGGAGGCAGTCACAGAAGGCTGCTTACCCTGACGGAAGTCTGAGAGGATGTAGTGTGTCTGGAACCCTGCAGCGGGGGCACACACCTTGGAGTGGCCATAGCAAAAGCAGCGACTGCACCCAGCTGGATTGTGAGGCTGCAGGTTAAACGTCCCAGGGCGACATCTGTAAGAGAGTCAGGCAGAGTCACATGTCCCAGACAGGACCGGATTGGACCAGGATCCAGTTCGACTATTTGGAATCCGGGGGAAACTTAAGAAAAACATTTTTTTTTTCAGAATTACAAAGAATTACACAGACAGGACAGACAGTTCCCATGTCTGCTGCCCTGCCTCTTCGCTGTTGACATACGACCTTGAAGCCAAGAGATTAACATTGTTTAATGTTAACAAACTCCAGGCTGTGTCACAGGATTCCTTTTCTTTTCCCACTAACATATTTTCCTGCTCCAGGACCCTGTAAGGACCCAGAACTACATTTAGCTGTGCCTTTGACTCCTCTGATTTGTAACTTTCCTTGTCTCTCCTGACTTTGACACTGTCATTTTTTGTTTTGTGAGACAGGTTCTTTTTTTTTTTTTTCATCTTTTTTTAAGACAGGGTCTCCCTGTAGCCCCAGCTGCCCTGGAACTCACTATGTAGAACAGGCTGGCCTTCAACTCACAGAGATCTGCCTGCCTCTGCCTCCCTAGTGCTGGGATTAAAGGCGTGCACCACCACGCCCAGCTTGAGACAGGTTCTTATTATGGACCCAAGCCTGGCTTTGCAGACTCAGTGACCCTCCTGCCTCAGCCTCCCAAGTGCTGGCATTACAGGCATAGGCCACTATACCTGGGTCAACTATGACACTTTAAAAAAATACTTTATGTGACAGGCATGGTGGCACATGACTTTAATCCCAGCAACTTGGGAGGTAGAGACAGGTGGATCTCTGTGAGTTCAAGACCAGCCTGGTCTACATAGTGAGTTCCAGACCAGCTGGGGCTACAAGGAGACCCTGTCTCAAAAAAGACCAAAATAATATTTTTTAAAATTTTTATTTGATGTGAATGAATGTATTGCCTGCATGTACACAAGTGCACCTGCATCATGCAATGTCCATGAAGCCAAGAGATTAACATTGGTTAATGTTAACAAACTCCAGGCTGTGTCAGGAGATCAGAAGAAGACCCTAGAACAAGAGCTATGGACAGTTGTCACCACCATGTGGGTGCCGGGAACTGAACTTGGGTCCTCTGAAAGAGCAGCCGGTGCTCTTAACGGCTGAACCATTTCTCCAGCCCCTGCCGCAACACTTTTGAAAAGCATCACCCAGCCATATTTTCAGATGCCCTTCAATGTAGGGCTGCCTGACAATTTTTTATTATTTATTGTAAAATTTTATGTGATGAGTGTTTTGCCTACATGAGTGCACTCACATTGTGCACGCAGTACTGCAGAGGCCAGAAGGGACACTGAATCCCCTGGAACTGGAATTACAAACAGTTGTTAGCCACCATGTGGGTGCCGGGAACTGAACGCAGGTCCTCTGAACTGCTGAGCCATCTCTCCAGCCCTCTGTCAGACATTTTCCCGTGATAAGACTGGCATAACGGGATGGGGGGACGATGCACACAGAGGTGTCCATGTCATAGCATAGGACATGAAGCCTATGTGACACCAGCAGTGGTTGAACCTCCATCCCCAGCCACAGTATTGTCCAATCAGTTTCTGGACTAAACAGTTGCTGCAGCCCAGTCATTAGAAGTGAGAAGATAGCAGAATGTGGCAGTGTGTACCAGTAATCCCAGTACTCAGGCCATAAAGGCAGAGGACCAGGAGTTCAAGGTCATCTTCAGCTACATAGCAAGTTTGAAACTAGCCTAGGCTTGTTACAAGAGACTCTGTCTCCAAAAAAATAAAAGAAAATTTTAAAAAAAGAATCATGGGTCAGGTGCAGTGGTGCACACACTTTAATCCCAGCACTTGTGAAGCAGAGGCAAGTGAATCGTTATGAGTTCAGGCCAGCCTGGTCTATACAGCAAGTTCAAGGCCAGCCAGGGCTACATAATAAGACTGTATCGAAACTAAACTAAAATAAATAAGAAGCAACATTACTCAAAGGAGGGGATGAAGTACCCAGAGGGAGGAGTACCCAGGAACCTGAACACATGCAAACGCCATCACGGTAATTAATAAAGACTTCCAGGGAAATATCTTGAGGCCACACAAATGCCTTTTCTAGCTCACACTAGCATTATTGTAGCTGCTGTCCACAATAATCATCGTTATGACGTTCTAACCCTGACTTCCAAAGGCAGATTTGCCCCTCTGTCCTCATTTATTTAACTGATCAGCTACTGGTATCAATAGGAGGCTGTGGATCTCATGCTTCAGGCTATAATGCAATCCCATCGTTACTTATCTTGTTGCTCAACTTATTCCAGCTCTGGGACTTCCTACACACTGGCTCCTGAATCATTTTCACATGGGGCAGAGACAGTCGCATCTCAGCTCAGTTGGTAGGGGCTTCTTGGAGCAAGGCATTGAGAAGGACCTTGAGGTTAAGACTGTTGTGCTCTATTGGTGATGTCTGCCATGGGTGTGAGATGGGAGGGCTGTCTCAAGTCTCCCTTGATGATGTCTGCTATGAGTGTGAGATTCGGAAGGCTGTAACAGCCCTCCATTGGTGATGTCTGCCACAGGTGTGCGATGGGAGAGTTGTAGTACGCTGGCATATGTATTTGCTAGATAAACTCTTCCCTATCCTTTCTAGAGTTTTCTTAGGATTCTAGCCTTGAAGCATTCATCCATTTCCTTAGCAAATGAACCCTCTGTGGTGTTGGATCAGAGTATAAACAGTGTCATGGAGCCTTTGGGTAACTTCCCTGGTGGCAGGCCCCTGGAGCTTCAGAAAGAGTGTAGGTGATGGGCTTGCCCAAGTGTTTAAGGACCCTGCCCCACCTCCAGTTCCCCTCTACAGCTTTGCTGCCTCACCAGAGACCCCTGATGTCACTTACTGCAGCCCATGTTGGTTAGCTCACCCACCTGTCACACAGATTGCCTTCAACGTTATCTTTGCAGGGGCAGCGCCCACTTCGGGGGTCACAGGTACCTAGGCTGCCAGCAACATTGCAGGTGCAGGGTCTGCCAAAAAAACAGGGCAAGGGGACATGTGTCCAAAGAGCAACTCCAGAGTGGGAACAGCCTGTCCTCAGGAGCAATCTCCCCACCCTTCCCTACTCCTGAGAAGACCGGACACCAGATGACCCAAGAGCCTGTGCCTGACTTCACTGTTCCCACCTCACCAGGAAGTGCCCTGCCCGTCTACTGGTGCAGTGATGCCTCTGTATGCACCAGTACTCTGTCCATCCATCACCTGAGCTCCCACTTAGCATCTGCCTACCTTCGAACCACCTACTTGTCCCTCCATTGGTGCATGTGTCCACCCATCTACCTGTTTTATTCATCCTTCTATCCCTCAACCTCTCATTCACCTATTTCCTCATTCATCTGCCCACTCACCTCCATCCATCCATTCATCCATCCACTCCTCTCCATCCATCCATTCATCCATCCACTCACTTCAATCCATCCATTCATCATTCATCTATCCATTCACTCACCTCCATTCATCCACCTACTCATCCATCTACCCAAGCTTCCATGTATCTATCCATTCATTTATCCAGCCACTCACCCATCCATGTACCCCCCCCACTCACCCATCTGTCCACCCATCCACGAATCCATACAACCATCTGTCCGTTTGCCACTGCTCTGTGGTTTGTGTTGTGGAAGGAGATGGACAGTCGCATGGTGGCACCAGGGAGGGGCATCTAACCTAGCCTGGGAGAATGACAGGGGCTGAGGGAGGAGCAAGGGGCTTCTGGAGGGAGCAGTGCCTCAGAGAGGACCAAAGAATGGGTAGCAATGTACTAGGCACAGGCAAAGGGGGTGAGGCTGGGGGAAGGAACACACTATGGTTTAGAGGAACAGTCAGAGTAAAGGTCCCAAGGCCAAGACGTGGGAAGCCACCAGGTTCGGGTTCAATATTTTGTTTATTTGTTTTTATGGTTCTGGGGATGGAACCCAGGGTCTTGTTCATGCCAGGCAAGTGCTTTCTCTACCCTTGAGCCCTAACCCCAACTTTAAAGGGTGTTTCTGTGCCACCATGCCTGCCCAACAAACTTCTTCTGCCTTTCACTTGTATGGAAACACTGTCATCGTGCTCATTTCTTTTAGTGTGGTTCTGTGTGTGTGCGTGTTCACGTGTGTATATGTAGCATTTATGAATTCATGTTTATGCGCATATGTGTAGGTGTGTGCTCATGTGTGTGGCGGTCAGAGGCTGGTGTCAGGTGTCTTGTTGCCCATCTTACGTTTTGAAACAAGGTTTCTCACTGAATTAGGAGCTTACCAATTTGGCAAGATTGGCTGGCCAGCAATCTCCTGGGATCCACTTATCTCTGCCTCTGTCCCCCAGGTCTCCAGCACTGGGGCTACAGATGTGCACTGCCACACCCAGCTTTTGTGGCTTCTACATGTTGCTGCGGATCTGAACTCAGGTTCTCATATTTGCACAGCAAGCACTTTACCAACCAACTGAGACATTTCCTCAGCTTCAACAAGTTCATTTAAAAGTGCTTCTAAGGGGCTGGAAAGATGGCTCAGTAGTTAAGAGCACTGGCTGTTCTTGCAGAGACCAGGGTTTGGTTCCTATCACCTACATGATGGCTAACAACCATCCCAAACTCTAGTTCCAGGGGATCCAACCCCTCTTCTGGCCACCAGTGGGCATTTCATAACACAGATACACTTACATACATGCAGGCAAAACACTCATATACATAAAATAAAAATAAATCAAAAGAAATGTGGGGGGGTGATAGTAGCTTCTAGCCTGGCATGCAGGAAGCCTTAAATTCAATAAAGAAATGTGGGGGGTGATAGTAGCTTCTAGCCTGGCATGCAGGAAGCCTTAAATTCAATCCCTGCTACTACATAAATTAGGCTTGGTGGTGCACACCTGTAATCTCAGCACTCAGGAGTCAGATGGGAGGTTATCTTTGGCTACACGGCGAGTTTGAGGACAACATGTGCTATAAAAACCAAGACTCAAAAACAAAGCTTCTAAACCCTTTTGTAATTTTGGTCCCTGTGTGTTTGAATGAACTGATGGTGACCGTGTTTGGTCCCTCTTCTGAGATCCAGCCCATGGCTGACCTGTTGATCTCACTCCCCTCAGCCAGGTAACACTCACTCCCAACATGTGGACACAACGCCCTGCCTCCCTGCCAGCTTCTATCTGCCCACCCCCCATCTCCTGCTCTAGGGCCAGCCTCCATCCTGTCTTCCTCCTTGGTCTTCTGTTACCACATACTCGGGTTCTGGAATCTGCCTCTCCCCTCCCTCCCTCCTCATGGCCAGCCCTGCTCCTGCCGCAGCCTCCATCAGCCTCTCCACTGCTTCCTGCCTTGGCCCTCCTGCCCACAGCCCTCCTCGGCCCTCCTGAGGTCCCCACTGCACCAGGCCCTCTTTACACCTAGCCTTGGCTGTGCTCCTCACCTGGACCACCTGTCGCTTCATGTTCTATGGTCCTCAATCATCAGGCCTTAAGCTCTGCCTGGGGCTCTGCCCCTCTTATAGCAAGCTGGCCTCCTGGGCAGAGGGTCATGGCTGTGCTTCCACAAGTCTCCCACCCTGTACTGCAATGGGCTGGTCAAGTCTCTCTGTATTTACAGGCACTGGCTAGCTCCAGTTCTTTTATTTTGTTTGTTTTTTGTTTTATTTTGAGACAGAGTCTCCCTGTAGCTCCAGCTGGTCTGAAACTCACTATGTAGACCAGGCTGGCCTCATCTCACATGGATCCTCCTGCCTCTGCCTCCGAAGTGCTGGGATTAAAGGTGTGTTGCCATGATGCCTGGCTAGCTCTAGGTACTTTTCTAAACTTTATTATTTTTTATTTTATGTATATGAGTGTATTGCCTGTATGTGTGTAAGTGCACCTGTGTTGTTCAATGCCCACAGAGGTTAGAAGAGGGTGTTGGAGCCTCTAGTACTGGAGTTATGGGCAGCTCTAAGGCACCATGTGGATGCTGGGAATCAAACCTGGATCCTTTGCAAGAGCAGCTAGTGCTCTTAACTGCTGAACCATCTCAACAGCCCCTAGCTTTAGTTCTTATACGACTAGGGCACAGTGGCTATAAGGTAAGAAAATGTTGAGGGGGGATGTGGGTGTGGGGACAGGTTGGGGTCCACCCCCTCTCTGTCTTATTGAGTCCAAACACACAGCATGGGCCTCTATCCCTGGTCCCTTCCTGCCTACTCACCTGCAGCCTCCCTCGCTGAGCGAGTGGTACCCAGGCCGGCAGCGGTCACACTTCCAGCCCGTCACTGTGGGCTTACAGTTACAGATGCCTGAGCTGTCACACTGGAGGCTCAGGGAGCCTGGGGAGGAAGGGCAGAGGACAGTGGTGGGTGGTGAGACTGCTGAGGGGCTGAGGGCTGCTGATGGGGTAAACAGTGGGGCCAGGACCACTTACCCGCAGGATGGCAGTCACAGGGTTGGCACGATATCCTCGGGTCCCGGCGGTAATAGTTTTTCTCACAATGTTCACAGTGTGGCCCGGCCGTGTGGTCGCGGCAGTGGTGACAGCGGCCGCCATGGCCCGTGCTCCGGAAGAGCTCCCTGTCAAACGTACACTCCTCGGAGCGGCCGCTACAGTTGCAAGCTGTGAGCGGGCAGAGGATTGTGTGTGTGAGTGAGTGGCCAGCTCTGCTGGGAGGCATTGCTACACTCTGGACCAGGCAGTTCAAGGAAGGCTCTGATGGTTAACCTTGATTGCCAACTTGGCAGGATCTAGGAATCACTTAGGAGACAGAACTTTCGGCGTGTCCCTGAGGGGGTTTCTAGATTGAATTAATTGAGCAAGGAAGATCCACCTAAGACGAGTGCTGGCATCCTATGGGCTGGGTTCCATACTGAATAAAAAGGAGCAATCGAGCTGAGCACCAGCCTTCATCTTTCTCTGCTTCCTGACTGTGGACACAACATGACTAGCTGCCTCATACTCCTGCTGCCACGATTTCCTGCCATGGTGGGACTACCCCCTCAAACCATGGGCACAAATAAACCCTTCCTTCCTTCCATTGCTTTTGTCCAAGATGGATGTCAGGCCCAGCTTGATCAAGAACACAGAGCCCAATCAATTGATATTCCAGAACAGGAATTTTTTTTTTTTTTGGTCCTTTTGAAACAGGGTCTCCCTGTAGCCTCAGTAGTCAGCAGGCCTGGAGCTCGCTATACAGATCAGACTGGCCTTGAACTCACAGAGATACACCTGCCTCTGCCTCCCAAGTGCTGGGACTAAAGGTGTGTGCTACCATGCCGGGCTCAAAACAGGATATTCTTTAAGAGTAAGATGAGTGCTATTAATACTCTGAGGTGACACCGTCTTCCTGGAGGAAGTCACAGTTATGTTGAATTTGAAGTGGAGCAGAGAGGAGTTGGAACAGAAGGAGAAGATGGAGCCATGTTCTAGACACAAGGAAAAAGTTTGGACCAAGAAACAAGATCTGCTTGGTATGGGTGTGTGAAGAGGCTGGCTGCAGACAGCATGTCCTGTGATGGGCGGGAAGGGGCGACATCGTCAGTTGAGTGGTGTATAATGTCCGGGCAGTGGGTAGGAGGCTGGGAGCCTGGAGCTCCAGGTGGTGGGCTGCAGTGGTTAGTGACTCCCCATAGCAGGGAGGAGCCATGGGGTATAAGCAGGAAAGGAATGCAACTGAATTGGCTCTTTTTCAAAACTTCACTACAGGCAGAGCAGGCTGGAGGCCGGACACAGGGAAGAGGAGGGCTGCAGGCACCCAGAGGGGAGGTAACAGGTGGTGGTGGCGGTATTGTGGGACAAGTTAAAGGAATCGGAGAGATATTAAAGAGGCTGAATTCGGGGCTCAGATGCTGCCTAGGCTCAGGGTGGGGACGAGAAGCCAGGCATGAAACACCACCTTCCATCATGGTGACTGAGGACAGAGATTTGACCACATGGGTAAGGATACCTCAGGGAAAGCAGTCTGCACTTTGGAGTCCTCACTATGGAGATAGGCATAGACTTGGTACCAAGTAGGGAACTAGCACGGCAGGCTGGGGGAGGCAGGTCAGCAAGCCAAGAGGAACTCATTAGGACTGGGGTGGCCCTCAAGGCAGTTCCTGTGGACAGCTCCCTGTCCCAGGAAACAAGCTGTCCCTTCCCCACCCCAGTCCTGGCAGGCCCAAGAGGCCAGCCTCCAGGTTGAATGCAAACTGAGAGTGTTCCTCCCTCAGGCATTGGTCACTGCGCCTGGGGAGCCAGGGGACACTGGCAGGGCTGGGGAGAGTGGAACAAATGTGATGCTGGGGTGGCTGGTACACCGACTGCGAGGGTGCCTCCCATTCCACTGTCCCTGTAGAAGGTTCCAGGGCCCCTTCCTCCCTCCATCAGTGTGTCTTTGAGGTTGGGCAGGCAGAGCCATACAATACACAGTTGGAACATCAAAGGGCTGCTGGGGACTGTGGGGGACTGTGGGAAAGGCCGTGTTGGGCGGGTCAGTACCCTGCCAATGGGAAGGGGGAACTGGATTTCATTAGCAGCCAGCCGGGGTTGCAGCAGTTAAACAAAAGGATAAGTCAAGTTTGGGGACCTTCCCACCCTCCCACCACAGGCGCCTTTCTGGGTGGACTCGTCCTGGGGTAGTGACTTGTGGAGGGACACTGAGGTTCAAGTGCTCCCCTCGGTTCCCCTTCATCTCTCCGTCACAGCTGGGACCCCCACACTACACGCCAGGCCCACCCAGGAGCAGCTCCCCTAGTGAGGTTGTGGGGGGTGGATCCCAGGCCAGCATCACCAGCCTGGGGCCCTGCTGCTGGAGGGGCACTCACGCAGACACTCGTTGGCGGCTTCCGCGGTGCCACGAGCCCACGGGCGATCCTGGAAGAAGGGCAGGCAGCGCTCGCAGTCCACGCCCGTGGTGTTGTGCTGGCATCGGCAGGCCAGCTGGCCCATCTCGTCAGGGCCACACTCGCTGGCGTGACCGTTGCATTTACACCTGGGGAAAGTATCCGGAGGAAGGAGTCTAGGGATGAGTTCAATACTGGTACCCTTTGATTCTAGCTGGAGTGTAGGCATACCTGAGCCCTGATGGGACACTTTGGGGCTGCAGTAAGAAGATTCCTGGGGTTCCTAAACTCTCTATGGAATAAACCCCTTAATCTTCTTTGAGAATCTGAGGCATGGTCAGCTAGCTAGCAAGTGGCTGCCGTAGAAAGTTTCTGCCTGGGCAGAGTCCCATCTTGGGGCAACTTGGGACCCAGGAAGAAATCAATTCAGTCTCCTGGGTGGGAGTGGGCAAGTGGTTACAGGGTCAGTTATTGGGGAATGAAGGTCACCTGGGGTAATTCTACAATTGTGTCTGAAAGGGAATGAAGAGGTATCCTGTGCAGGGGACATTTCCCAGCCAGTCACAAGTCCCCAGAGCCTGTGTCTTGGTAGACAGCCCTGGGGCTATGTTCCCACGATACCCAGAGTCAGGAGATAGGTAAACTCAGTAGGGACAAGCACATGCTCTGGGGGCAACATGGAATGCTGGATGTAGTCTGATGCTATGTAGACACCATCCCTGGCAGCCAGGCTGAGAAGCTTGGAAGGCCCACCAAGGCCTTCTGTTCCTGCCATGCTTTGAGATGGGACCTAGCAAGCAGCTCTGGGCCTTGCTGGAGTCTTTGGAAGGGAGGACTCTTATTCCCCTCACGGGAAAGGGAGCAGGCTTGGAACACGATGATGGCACGCACTATGGGGCAGAGCTGCAAGCCAGAGCCAGCCGAGGTTCTGTGGGTCACCTGTGTCTCCCCAAAGCCATGCCCCACACTGCCCTCAGTGGGCATTGAGGGATGACTGACCCTGCCTGGAGCCCCAGTGCCATCTCTAATTTGGGCACACACGGCATACAGGGCTGCTTGCTCATGGGCCCAGGGTGGGTAGGCAACACTCCACCATTGCCAGTAGGGGCCAGACCAGCACTGTGGGCTCAGAGACAGTGCAAACTAGGGAAGTTCAGGGACAGTCCCATCCTTGAGAGGGTGCCACAAGCTCCTCCCTCCTCTAGGAATCCTTCTGACCCAGGGGAAGGAGCGGTCCATTCCTGAGAGCTGCTTTCCCCAGCCAGATGCAGGACTGAGGGTGGTCTGGCCCCAGCAGCTGGGACCCAGATGTGCTCTGTCCTATATCCCTCCTGACAGCAGGCGCTGCAGCTGGAGGCCACCACCATTTTTGGAGCCCTCAGGGAGGTTTGACCTGACAAGTGTTTGGGAAACAGCAGGGGGTCCTTACCAGGGTCCCTTGAGGCCACTTCACACCCAAGAGCCAGTCATGGGCACAGGCTCCTCCCACCTTATCCATCTCTAACACCATCCAATCATCCCCAGAATCCTGGAAGTCCAGCATCTGGGCACCATCTTCTTTCAGTCCTAGCACCCTGTCTCCCTAAGGCTTCTACCTCCTCTTCCTCCTACCCTTTCCCCATGCTGCTATTAGGGCATGATGGTTCATACTTTCAACTTGACAGGATAAAGAATCACCTAGGAGACAAATCTCTGGGCATGTCTGTGAAGGAGTTTCTACACTGGGTTAACTGAGCAGGGAAGGCTCCTGAATGTGGGCAGCCTTATCCCACAGGCTGGGGTCCCAGAATGAACAAAAGGAGGAAGTGAGCTGAGCACCAGCATTGATCTCTCTCAGCTTCCTGACTGCGGACACAATGTGAGCAGCTGCCTCACGCTTCTGCCACCATGCCTTCCCTGTCACATACCCTGAGTGTTTTAACAATCTGCCACTAACTGGGATGCGGATAAACTGTAGACCATCCTGACATAAGCTGGTCTCTGTCACCTTCTCCTTTGAGTCCAGCTTTCCAGCTCATGGAGGCATCTCACCCCTGGCCCTCTATGCTGGGGTGTACGGACATGTTTCTTGGGAGCCTTTGGAGTCCTGCCTGCCATACCACAGGCCTGGGGGGTCCCACCCTCTCCTCTCCTTTCCTAGTGAGGGCTGCTTGATGTGGGGACCTGCAGCTGGTGGCCTGTGGAGGTTGGATGGAGCCAGCAATAGGTCCTCAAATGCAGGTAAGGGGTGGGGTCCTGTTCTCTTCTCCGCCCTTGGTCACCCCAGGTGCCTGCTGCACCCTTCCACAGAGGCCACTAATAGCTGCTACGTAGCTCTGGGGCCTGAGCCCTGCTCCCCTCAGCCTCCCCTGGTTCAGTGCCCTGCTTCTACCTACCTGCCACCCACGGAGAAGTCAGACACTGCATAGTAGTAGGATTGGAGCACTCTGGGGTCCTTGAAGATGTCGTCCCCAAACGTGTTGAGTCGGTCCAGAGAGATGAGGAACTCGGTGCTGGTTACCCACTCCTGGGGGAGGAACACCATCAGCTAATGCTCCTGGCCTGCTCCACTGGGCTCTGCACAGGGACAGGTCTGGCTGAGACAAGTCCTGAAGACAGGCTAGGGACCAGGAGCCCTGGGTCAGGCCAACTGGGAGATGGGCCACTTGCTGACTATACAGCTCTAGTGATGAGGCCTGACAGCCTTGGTGTTTCTGTCTCCTACTTTGTAAAATGGGACCAGGCTAGTGGATCCCCTGGAGGCATGTAGAGGAGTGTGGGAGACATCAACTGCTACTATGCATGTATGTGTGTATGTGCATGTATGGGTATGTGTGCATGTGGGTATGCATGTACATGCATGCATGAGTATGTGTGCATAGGTATGTGTACATGCATGTGTGTGCATGAGTATGTGCATGTGTGGGTGTATATAGACATGTATGCATGCATGTATATGTGCATGCATGAGTATGTATCTGTAGGTATGTGTGCATGCGTGTGTATGTGCATGTATGGGTGTGCATGTGTACCCGAGTGTGTGTATGTATGTGAGTATATGTATGTGCATGCATTCATGTGTGTGCATATTTGTATGTGCATGCATATGCATGCATGTTTATGTGCATTGTGTGTGCCTATGTGTACACATGTGTATGCACCTACATGTGTGTATGAACATGTGTGCACATGCATGTGCTGTGTGTCTACATATGCATGTGCGTGCCTGTGTGTTTGTGTATTTGTGTATGTGTGTGTGGCTAAGGAGTGACATGTCAAGAGATCTCCCCTGTTCCACTTGGTGTCCCCATCCAGGCCTTCGTTTCCTGTTCCTTAGAGGCCTTAGCATCCCCCCGTAGGCCCTCTTGAGAACACATAGCTCCAGACTGGAATGTGACTTGGAGGTAGCACTCACATATGTGTGTGTGTGTGTCTGTGTATATGTGCGCACACGTGTGTGTGTGTGTGTGTGTGTGTGTGTGTGTGAGGCAATCCATCTGAGCCCCTGACATGCAGGCTGCCACCCTCTTCCTGCTCCCCTGGGCCTAGTGGCTCCTCACAGGGCTGACATCCCAGAAACAAGCCTCAAGAGAAGCCCCCCTCCCCCATTCTCTGCCTCCCAGCCCCTGGGCTCGGACCAGCAAGTAGCAGACACTCGATAAACACTTGCTGGTTTCGGGCTGGCTGAGCAGCTTCCCCATGGAAGCGCGTGGTGAGGAAGTGGGGGCCGCACATGGAGACTGACATTTCCATCTGCCTGCTGTTGTAATCAGAGGCGGCTCCGGCTGAATGTTAATCAACTGTAATTCAGCCCGGGAGCTCCTGGCTTAGCAATCAGGCCGTCAGGACTGAAAATGAGCTCCTGGCAAAGTCGCTTCTCGCCCCAGCAGGACTCAGGTCCGCAAACTCTGCAAGGCACTGACACCGCGGGTTCTTGTCACTCCCAGAGTCACCTGGGGCTGAGCGTTGCAAAGGTCATTGTACTTTTTCAGGGGTCTGTCAGAGGTAGGTCTGACTGTGAGGTCAGGTGGAGCTGGAGTCTCTCCCCGCCTCCCCCTTCTTGTCTTTGACAGGGTCTCATGTATCCCAGACTAGCCTCAATTTCACTACGTGGCCAAGGATGGCCCTGAACCTCCAGCCCCCACCTCCCAAGTGCTGGGATTACGAGTGCTCACCACCACACCTCGTTTGTGCAGTGCTGGAGATAGAACTCAGGGCTCTGTGCGTGCTGGGTAAGTGCTCTACCAACTGAGCCACATCCCCAGCCCCTACATTTTGTCTTCTTCATAGTTTTGGGGTCAAACCCAGAGTTTTGGGCATACCAGGCAAATGCACTGCCTCCGAGTCACATCCAGCCTGGGGCCATGTGTTCTCAGGAGGGCCCTGCTGGGGGATACTGAGGCCTCTAAGGAACTGGGGAAAAGATCTCTTGACACATCACTCCTTAGCTAGTGCCCCTCCCAGCTCCCACCCCAGGGACAGCTGGGAGAAGCCAGTTAGGCTTCAGGATGGCCTCTTATTTGTGGTCTTCCTGCCTCAGCCTACTGTGTGCTGAAAGGACAGGCATACCATAAGCTCCACATCTGACTTTCTTTCATCTATTTTTTTTTTGTATCAGGCATCCTCAAAAGATGGCAGGATTCTAAAGTAAGAAAACTAGGAAGACCCAAGAGGCTCCAAAGTCCTGCCTCTACTGGCTCTCCTGCTGTCCCCTGACCCAAATCCCACTTGAGTCCTGAGCCCCTGAGGCCCTGTGCCTCCCTGACCTGCAGCACGGGGCTTTCCTCAAAATTGTAGGCACTGGGACGGCCCTCCAGGGTGGAGAAGGCGACGTTGCCCCCACTCAGTGGGGAGATGTCACTGAACTCAGAGGTGCAGAAAGCCACCCTCTCATCCTCGCCTGGCCGCAGGTAGTAGCCCTCTGGGCGCCCATACGTTTTCTGGCAGGAGGCGCTGTAGTACTGGTAGGGTTCCCAGGGACCACTGGCATGTGTTCGCTTGTAGATGGCAAAGCTCTCGGGTCGGCTGGTGTGAAACTTCAATCTCACGTAGGTGATCTCGTAAGCCTTCCCTGCAGCCAGGCAAATGGGGACCATCTTAAAGAGGGAATGGGGAGTCGCAACCCTGGTCCAGGGAGAGCAGAATGGCACTCTGGGCCAGAGTGCTGCCATTGATTGGTGAGGCACAGGTGAGGACAGCTCACTTCCCAGGTACTTGTCATCCTTATCTGGCTCAGCTCTCCTCTTTGCACAGAAGTCTGAGCCATTACAACCCAGCAGGCAACATGTCTTTTTGCTCAAATATCTCCCACAATGGGATGGTGTCCCATCCTGAAAAAGCTCTTCTACTATTTAGAAAGTTATTTCTTTTACTATACCCCACCAACCTGTAATTGTACAGCAATTACAAACCTGTGTTCCAAGGCCCCAGATCCTAACAAAACCCTCCCTACACCCCTCACACTTCCTCTGGCTTCTCTCTAACCTTTCTTTTTATTTTTATTTGCCTGCATGTGTGTAAGTGCACTTGTGTCGTGCAATGCCTGTGGAGCTCAGAAGAGGGCGTCAGATCCCCTGGAACTGGAGTTACAGTTGTTAGCTGCCATGTGGATGCTGGGAATTGAACCAAGTTCCTCTGCAAGATCTGTCAGTGCTCTTAACTGCTGAGCCATCTCTCCAGTGCCCGGACTTTTCTTTTGACCCAAATTTGCCAGCGGTGGGCTCCATGGCTGCAACCCAACTTTTGTCCTACTGAGTACAGTGTCTCTGGACTGCTTCATGGAAATTGCCCTGGGGAAGCCATGTTACCCATAGTCCTTTGTGGCTGCAGCCAGGGGACCCCCACCCCCGCCTTGTTTCCTGGGCTTCTAGGCATCCCATCTACCTGGTCCTCTCCTGTTCCTTCCCTAGGGCCCTCTCCCTTGGGCTTAGCCCACTCCTTCCTCTTGCTGCGGACACAGCACAGGGACACTCTTCGAGCCCTGCTTCCTCATCTCCACCCATCTGAGCCATCATGACCCATAGCAGTGAGCCCAGATCCATCATAGTTACTACATAGGACTACACAGAGGCAAGGGGTTGGAAGACAGAGCTGAGACAGAAAGGGGGTTGTGGGTGGGGGGCAGGATGGCCAGAGGCCACAGTGGGCTGTTAGTCAACAACCCAGGCTTAAGTACAGGACACGGAAGAGATGAGAGAGACAGCACCTCAGGCTACTCCTGGACGTACAGGGGACTGCTGTTCCCCTGCCCTCTCTGAGGGAGCACTTGTCTGCCCCAGTAAGGACGTATATGACTTCAGTGAAGAGAAGGAACCAGGCTTCAGCCTAAATGTGATTTCTAGCTTTGGCCTAGTGGCAAAGGGCTGTCATTCTAACTATTCTGGAATCTGAGGCAGGAGGATCTCAAGTTCAAAGCCAACCTAGGGAACTCAGTGAGATCCTGACTCAAAATAGAGTAAAAAGAGGGTGAGGATGTGGCTCAGAGGTGGAAGGCTTGATCCCCATGTACAAAGCCCTGGGGTTAAAACAGAGTAATTTCTACACTGTGTGAACCACTGCCACCCCTCCCCCCACCCAGGGCTCAGGAACCCCTCACAGGTCTTGCCTTCAGCAATGCCCCTCCTAGCACTTCCCCTGAGAGCAGGAACACTCTTGGCAGCTTCCCTCCTGCTGAGAACCAATCATGAGAGCCAGTCCTCTATAGGAGGAACAGGGGGAGCTGGGAGGGGGGCGCTCAGTGGTTAAGAGCACTGGCTGCTCTTGCAAAGGACTTGGGTTCAGTTCCCAGCATTCACACTGAGTGGCTCACAACCACCTGCAACTCCAACTCCAGGAGGATTTGACATGTCTGATTTCTGTGGACACCTGCACAAATGTGTATATATTCCCCCTCACATAATTAAAAATAAATAAATCTCTAAATAAAATGTTATATTTTTAAAATGTGGTAGTGCGGGCAGTAGCTGGAGGGATGGCTCAGTGGTTAAGAGCACTGGCTGCTCTTGTAGAGAATCTGAGTTCAGTTCTTAGCACCCAATGGCAGCTAACAACCATCCGTAACTCTACTTCTAGGAGATCTGATGCCCCCTTTTGGCCTCCTCAGACATTGCATGCACAGGTGCACTTACATGCATGTAGGCAAAACACTCATACACATAAAATAAATAAATAATTTTGGCAGATCTTTTTGAGACAGGGTCTCCCTGTAGACCCAGCTGGCCTAGAGCTCTCTATGTAGACTAGGCTGGCCTTGAACTTACAGAGATCCGCCTGCCTCTGCCTCCCAAGTGCTGGGACTAAAAGCATGGGCCATTACGCCCAATAATATATCTATATATATGTGTATATATGTATTTTTAAATGCAGTGGGGCCACAGGGTTGGGGGAGGTGAGTCAGTGTTTATGGTGGCAGAGTCTGTTTCTTGAGTTGAAACTCTGTGGACAGCTGCAGAGCAAGGCAAATGCACTCTGTGCCCCTGAACTGTGTGTACTTGAAAGTGTTTCAGCTCATGAGCCAGCGTTGTTCACCACAATAAAAGGATAATTTAAGGAAGTAAATATATTGGCCTTTTGGGAAGGCGTTCTGGTGACATGGCATGAGGAGCTGCAGGAATATTCCCAGCATCTGACAAAGAAAGCCGGCATGGGGGGTTCATGGGCTAAATGCAAGGAACAAACATCAAGGGTTTTATAGACTTGGGAAAAATTGGGAGTCTGAAGAAATAGCTATGGGATTTATGGGACAGAAACTCCCACAGTGACCAAAGCCACTGAGAGTACCCAGGAAAAAGCCAGAATCAAAATGTTGAAAGGAAAAAGACACAAGATGCTATGTGGGATAAAACAGCCCTGGAGGCTGGGGAGGTGGCTCAGTCAGTAAAGTACTTGCCGAGTAAGCATGAGGACTTGCGTTTGAATCCTCATCACTCACCCAAAGACCCAGGTGTGGTGATGTACACCTGTAATCCCAGCTCTTGGGGAGGAGATGATGCAGGAGGATCCTGGGGCTCCCTGGCCAGCCAGCCTAGCTGAATCAGGGAGCCCCAAGTCCTATGAGAGACCCTGTCTCAAGAAACAAGGTAGATGGGAATTGAGGGATGACACATGAGATTGATCTCTGGCCTCCACAGATGTGCACGTACACACACACACACACACACACACACACACACACACACACACTAATTTAAGAAATTTAAAAATGAAAAGAATAGAATAGGCCCCAGTTAGGTGTGGTGGCTCACACCTGTAATCCTAGCACTGAGGAGGTGGTGGTAGAAGGAACAGGAATTCAAGGTCATCCTTGGCTACATAATGAATTCAAGGCCAGCCTGAGCTGCATGAAACCTTGTCTCAAAAAACGAAACATAAAACAAAAACCAAAGACACAGGCCCCAAAGACAGCCGTCTAATTGGCAAGCGTGTTTGTCCTGGGAACTCAGCGCAACTGTTCTTCCTTCAGTGTTCCTCTGTTTTCCCCAATTTTCTCTCATGAAGCTTGTTCTAATTTAAAACTGGAGAAAACCCAGTTTGACGAAACTTTTTAAAAGGCAACCGGCTTGCCAGGTTCCGGTTTAAGATGTTTTCCGAAGTTCCGTGGCAGCACAGCTTGGCACTGACACTCAGAACCCTTAACAGGAGGGCATGCAGAACTGGGATGCAGGCAGGGTTGGGGAGCCCCCTTAGCTGACTCCTGTTCAGAGTGCCAGGCCCAGATGTGCCCAGATGTGCTGGCACAGGTGTGGCAGGTCCAGTAAGCACAGAGCAGCCAAACAACGGCTTCCTCCAGGAACTTCAAAGGTGTCTGGCAGATAGAAGCTCTGTAGGAAAAAGGCAGTCACAGGATTGCATGCAAGCAAGTCCTATCCCAGGCCTATCCCTCTCCAAGCCAGGAGGTGAGAACTGCAACATCACAGAGGGCCAGTTGGGGGATGGTTTGTTATACAGTTAATTAGCAGAGAAACAGCAGTCTGCTCCATGCGGATGTGCAGCCTACTGCCAAAGGCAGCCAGAAGATGGGGAAGGGAATGGCCCCCAAGATCTACCAGTATACATTGACAGGGATTAAACTCATTGCCACCCAGACACTCATAAGCTCCAGGGGCCAGTGAGGTTCCAGAGTGATGGAGAACGGTGTGCTCCCTGTCTGACCAACTGTCAACCAGTAGTGATGCAGCTTGGGAGTTTGAGCCTTTCTTCCAGGCCATTCAACATAGTGTTCCCTCTGCCTGGAATGCTGTTCTCCCCAGTCCTTGACTATCTCCCATGCATCCCAGATAAGTGCACTGGATTGAACACCTACTATGTGCCAGATACCATGCCAAACATATCCTTCACATGTTTACCTGAGACACCCAGTCCCGTCACAGAGCATGCGCCACTAATGAGCCCATGGCTCAGGGAGAAGGGAACTGCCTAACGCCACACAGAAAGCTGTTGAATCTCTCTGAGACCTCAAGCCCTCAAAATGGCTGTACAGAGCCAGCTATTCTCCCACTGGGGCTCTGTGGGTCTCCAGGGAGACAGGGCTGCCAGGAAGAGGGTGGTGGTGTCCATGGACCTGGAGATCCCATCCACTCCCTCCAGCTTTGGATGGTTGCTAATACAGTGGCTAGCATGCCAGGGACCTCTTGAGCCAAGTCCCAGGGTGCAGAGGCACATCTACCCCACCAGCTGGGACACAGAGCCCGCCAAGACAGGACCGCCATAAACCGAGCTGGCCCACATCCGGCACTGACCGGGCGGATAGGCCAGGCTTATTTTGGGAAAATGGAAACAAAACAAAGCGTTTTAATTGCAGCCATCTGGGGAGCCGGGTAGGGTGGGGTGGGGGTGGCGCCTGAAGGGGCAGCAGGCACTGAGCTGGAAACACGTGGGCAGACAAGCTGGCACCCACCTCAGGCATTAGAACTGGGAGAGAGCTGCTCCCAGCACAAGGTTCCCAATGTGAGGGATCCCAGCAGGGCCCCAAGCCCCGGGGCTAACCTGCTACCCACTGTCAGGCCTTTCCTCTCCCAAGCTAGCTCTAGGCAGTTCAGCACCAAGCATGGTGAATCCCTGTGAAGAACTGGG